GGGAAAAATAAAGTAGGAATACATTTAGTTTATATTCCAAAGTATAAGCTATGTTTGTTTATGTGGGTCAAGCGGTTTTATTGATACCTATTTTAGCACACCTAGTCATTAGATAGTATGATGTATCAGTCGTATTTGTTTTTTTTGAAAAATATCATTTCAAAATAAGTTATTAGAAATGGACGGTACTAATTCAATTACACTTGGTTACAATGATGTGCAAGTAAACATGACTTTGAATCATTCTGTTACAAGCTTTTAGCAAGACTAAATTGTGCAGGAAATAATTGTATTCATAAATAGACAACATTTCACTAAGGTCCAGGCATGATTTTATCTAACATATGGTTCGTTGATTGAATATTCTTTCTGTACAATTATCAAATTGTATTAAGAATATTGAAAAACTTATATCATGCAAACACATTTAATAACTGAATGTATACATATGATTGTATCTGCATTTATTGATATTTTAGTACACCCTCTAGACCTGAAGGAAAACAAAAAATACCTTAATACAATAAAATACTTTTTACAGTGAATATTTGCATAAGAATTCTTAAAAAACGTTATTTTTTACCTACAATTGTCTGAATAAATTTACCCCACCCAACTTTAATAAGTATAAAACCTTTCAATTTTTGTTTGTTTTTGTTACAATTATACAATAAAACATAGTGTTGATTGAATATCAAATACACTTTAAGAAACTATGTAACTTTTGAAATTTTTGTACATAGACCTAGAAAACCATGTTAGAGAAAAATGAAAAAAAATGGCACTTTTTCTTTTGATTTTTTTAAAGATTTTTTTTGTACAAAAAAACTAAAAACATGACTAACAATGTGGTTTTAACCTAAAATTTGATTTTTTTCTAATATATTTCACAATTTTATATGGAAATACGCATACCGTGTGCAAAAAATTATACTGCAAAAGAGATATATCAGTTTTCATTAAAATTGGCAGCCATATTGGACGCCATCTTGGATTCTGAAGAAAAATGCAAGAGAAATTGCTTAAAGATTTAAAATTTTTGAAAAGGGGAAACTATATGCATGCTTTGGTGTAAGTTTCAGGTCTGTACAAAAAATTGGAATGAATGAGCTATTATGTACATCAAATTTATATGGCGGCCATCTTGAAAATGGCGGCCATCTTGAATGAGCAGAGATATTTTTGGGCCCACTTCACTTTTGAAATCTACATGGTCTAAAGATAATTTCCTGAAAGTTTCATGCTTGTATCACAATTTGCACTATTTTGACAGCAGAGACCTTATTTCCCGCCCCACTAGTAACCAATGCAGTTCCAACAAAGAGTCTTTGGAACTATCATATTTTCCGCGTTGCAAAACAAGTTTAGCGCACATATTCTGGATACGCTGTAATTTCTGTAACTCACTTTCTGAAATGCCAAACAATATAGCGTTGCAATAATCCAAATGTGAGATTACAAGCGACAATACTAGGATTTTTGTGGCGTCTTGAGTCAGATATTTGCGAATGCTCTTTATTCTCAAATAATTTAACATAGCAGTTCTACACTTGGTCTTAACATGTGTTGAGAATCTTAGGCCCTCGTCTAAGTAGGCACCTAAATATCTTATGACACTGACATTTTGAATTTTATCACCGGCGATATCGATTTCTTTAATTGAACATTTACCAAGTTTGGGCTTTAAACTACCAAACATAATGAATTCTGTCTTAGTGGTGTTTCATTTTGAGTTTATTGGCATTCATCCAGTCATTGATGATTACAGCACTGTCTTTTCAAGTTGCTTTATAGCGTTAAGTTCATTGGTCACTGAAGTTGGTCGGAAAAGCGTTGACTAGCAATGTGGTCATCAGCAAAGTCGTACACAGATATGGATGGTGGTATCACATCAAATAGGGTTCCCGCATATGTGAGATTAGAGCCACGGACCAAGACAGCTCCCCTGAGGTACACTGCATTCCAGCAATCGTGGAGTCGATTCAGTAGAATTAACACTGACGCGACAACTACGAAGGTCGCAGGTACGAGTCCACCCAAGCTAACACGGTACCATTGACACCGTACTGACTGTGTAACACGTCGAGTAGAATGTTGTGGTCAACGGTGTCGAAAGCTGCACTTAGATCTATTGCAATTAGAGCTGTGACCTCTTGCTTCTCCATACCGTCTAGAAGATCATTGACAAGTCTGAGTAAAGCAGTCTCACATGAATGATGACGCCTGTATGCTGATTGATTTTTGGGTAACAAATTATGGGTATCGACATGGTTATTTAGTCTGAAGAGCGCAGCCTTTTCTATCAATTTCGCCTGAACAACGACATTTCGAGTAAAATGTACCGAAACTTTATATAAATAAAGAAAAAGTATAATATAACATAGTGAGATAGATCGCTTTTTAATACCATTGTTTCATGAAAACTATGAAACCATGTTATATGTTAATTTGTTAACTGGTGCTTGTTTACCAATTAACATATGGACATCACCTGGTCATTAAAATGTATTTAAACTATAAATCAAACAAGTTTGTAAAATTTATCATCGTTTCCCCGCTCGACATGATTATCAGTTATTCTAAATCATTCATTTTGATTTGAATATCATTAATTTATTTAAACATATCTAAAATGTATTTAATTTCGCTGTTTGGTAAAAGATGGTAAGAATGGTTTATCCCATGATCAATACATTGTAATGTTGCTCTTTTGTGCTTGAAAACTTAAAAGGAAAAAAGGGCAACGGTTGTGATGATTATTTCAATACAAATAATGAGAAACCAGTTATAATTAATAATCAAAGCATGCTGTATCAAAATATATTATGTTTAAGCAGTAATAATAATCATAATAATAATAATAATAATAATAATAAAAATAAAAATAATAATAATAATACTTGAATAAAATCATATCGAAACAAGAAAAAAACACTTTTCTTTTTTCAGTCTTTTGTCTCAAGACTAGCGAAACGATAATTAAATACAAGTATAAATGTTGCTTCAATGTAGCAATTGAGAAGCTCCGCGCAAAAAAGCGCTCATTACAGATACCTTACCAAATCATTCCTGCGTATATGTCATTTTCTATTTAAATTAAGTACATATGTACTAGTGTACATTATCAAAGGGCATCCAAGCAAGAAATGCAGCAAGTTACGACGACCTAGTAGACATCTGATGACCAGATATTCTTATAAACTTTTCAATGGTTGATTGGGTTTTACCAGAGTTGTACATGTATATCATAGATGAATTGGCGGACGAAAGACATTGTTCATCATGAACTTTGGCAGGCTTGCTAGAGATAAGAATATTAAATGTATTTTCTACGGAACATACAAAATAGTAGCCAGTTCATCAAAGAAAATAAGTATTGACCTAGACTGACGACAGCCTGATTGAAATAAATTTCCAAGGTTATCCACGGCGTTCTCATTTCTGTTTCAATTATACATCTGACGTCCAGATAAAAAAGATACTAGGTCTAAATTAGTGGACATATCGGATAAGGAACGTGGCTTGAATTCTTTTAGACATTTTTTTCTACTGTTTGGGTCAAGGATTGACAAAAACGTGAAACTATTGTTGACGATACAATATAAAAGAAAAGAAACATTAAATACCAAAACGAAACGAAAAAAAAAAAGACAGTTTTATTTAAAACAAGAAGTAGAAAAAACAACGCGGCAATTAGTGGTAACACAATGTAAGCGATCATCCACCCTGACAAAAATCATCTTTAAGTGATATGTTTTGTAAAATCATTCGTATACTAGATTTCTTGATTATTATTATTATTTTGAATGGGTTCTTCTTAGTTTCATTTCTTATACTTTTTTAACATTGAAAAGAGTTATTATATGCATTTAACGCCAGAAACACTCATCAAATTTGAATCCGTTAAACATTACTTATTTTTGAGTGATAATAGATTTCTGTTTTTAAGCATGAGATTCAGCACATCAATTTATTATTAAAATGAAGCTTTAAATGAAAAGTCATAAGTTAGGATCACTTGAACTCATTTAAATGAAAATGAAATTGTGACGTAGATTCTGACGCATAGCAACGAAATGTTTTCTACTGAGATTTATTGAGACAAATTTGTATTAATTACACTTGAAAAGTTGATTTTTACATGTATATAGATGAATATTTTAAAGTTTTAACAACCAGATATCATTTTAGTCATAGCTGGAATCCGCGCACGGTTTTGAACTTTTGATACATACAATATAAATAATGGAATACATAACACGGGCTTCGATCTTGTTCTGATTGAACATTGTAAGACAATAAATATATCATTAACATTAAGTATATCTTTAACAACTTGAGTGGTACTCAATTTTCAACACTTAAAATTGCTGGAACCAATGATCCCGAAGGACAAGAAAAATATAACAACACTGAAGTGAAGTACGAGGCAACTTTTTACGGCTGCCACACAGAATTTTAGCCTTGGACAAGAAAGAGTAACGCAGCGACAATTGAATAATTGATAAATTTCTTGTTATATAGTCTCAAATACCAGCATACAAGTGTTTTGTAATCCCGAACAGCTAACTATATGGTATGCTAGAATGTAATGTATTCTCCATTCAATGTCCTTTAGGCCATTATCAATGCATCTACATAGATATTTTATGGAGCAGTTTCTGTAGACGCTTACAGAAATCATGATCACAATGTAGACAGACTTCTTTTTTCCGCAGATTCTTACATTTTTAATTCATTATCGTATATAAATCGACGTGAAGAAATGAATTAAACGTTTTAAAGTTCATTTTGGTAGGTGAAACGGTCACATTTTACTATTTAATCATTCAAGCGTTTTGACCGGTATAAACCGGAACACGGTTTTTAGTGTGGTGTTCCAGGACCATTTTGGTCTCACTCAATAATGTTTCATTTTGGACATTCATAACAACAGTATACAAGTAAAATGGTTTCCTGCGATGAACATTTTAATGATAAAAAGATATTTCATTTAACTATTTTCAACATTATTTGGGGGTGGGGGGATAAATAAACGTTTGTATCAGGAATATAGTTGACAATTGAATAAACGATCAATATAGAAGAAGGTCTTTGGAAACTGGTGACCGTTGAAGACCGGAGAAGGTCGAACATAAAACAATTATTTCTTTTTAAGAAAATGATTAAATAGGCCTACCATTTTATGAATTATTCCGAGCAAAAAATAAATAAAGTAAACACACAAGTTTACGCAGAAAATATCTCTATTTATTATGGCAGATGCCACTACGAATATTTTAATTTTGTAGATTTTCAGTATAAACAATTTATTGTTTGTAAAATTTGAGATAGATATTAAAGAAACATTGATAATTTTCAAACACATCATTCAAGTTTTTCCACCTTAAACGGTAAAATAATTATAGAAAATTAGAAATATCACGCAATAGTTTTTTGTTCTTAATTAGGTGTAATTCGGACTAATTCCCTACAGGTAAATCCGTAACGTACCGGCAAACGTTATTTAGCTAGGTTTACGAAAAGGTCAATTAACCAATCATGTACGGTTTACAGATCACATGCTCCTCCATTTAACGAAAACAGGTCACGTGTTCCTCCATGCCTCAAAAGTTAAACGCGTACCAATTCCCTGCGGTCTCCAGACCGCAGGGAAAAATTGACTATAATTGTGTTATAAAGACTTTGAAGTATAAATAAGAGTATTTCAATAAACAATACATTTCAATTATTGGATTATTGTCAGATGTTTTTTCCTTGTTTGTTTCATTTTTGTTTTCTCCAATCTTATCAGTCATCAAATATATCGTCACCATCGTCACCCCATCCCCATGCTGCATACGGAAATGACGTCATCATATTTTGATTGCCCATGATACCATTGTTACCAAATCTCATTGATGTCATCATATTCTGGTAAGCCAGCATTAATTGCATCCATGGATCAGCTGAAAAATTGAAATATATAATATTATACAAAATATTGTTACATGCTATTCGGTGGTTTATAGAAATGTGTCAGTAAAATATAAAACTGATATTTCACTGTTTGGAACAGTGAATATATCAATTTGATATTTATCACTGTTTGAATTTTAGCCCGTTACGTTGTTTCAGAAAAAGACCAGTGTGCATTGGAAACCAAAACTTAATGACGTGACGTCGTAAATGACGTGACGTTGTATTATTATTTTGTGCTCTTTTAATTTAGTTTCAGGTTGACGTTGTATTATTATTTTGTGCCCTTTTAATTTACTTTCAGGTTAAAATGTCTTTTTAAACGTTTCTTTGCGCCACTCGTGAAATGTACCTTTTGGTGCCCACTCGGTGAAATATATTTCGATCTTACACTGAACTAAACTTATATCCTCTATGTATTAAACGTTACAGTCTGACGAACATTTAAAAAACTTGTACTTGGAAGTAAATTATAACATCTCGGTAGCATAGATTATTGAGTACTATATATTTTAAATACTGTACAGAGCATTTATTTTATATCAGACTTTATCATATGAATGATTTCTTAAATGTATTTTGAGAATAGAAAACTACTTTTGACTATATTTTTTTACATTTATGATTCATTCAACACCTATCTGCCCCCACACCAGCCGAAAAAAGGAAGGATGAAAACACAAACAAACAAAGTCATGCTATGATTGCCTTTATCATTTTACAGTCAGTTTTCGTGGAATAGTGGTAAATAATTCGTTTGAATTTATGAAGTTATTTTGTAAATGTTAGTTTGGTATAAATCGTTTATTCAATAACTATGGCATAAAAAATTCTTTAATTTTGATAAATTCATACTATTTAGTCACTTTGTTATATATTCAGATACTATGTCTATTTCAACATTATAATTCAATTTTATTAATTGCGCGTACTGAGGCTATTAATCAGACTAGATAAATGGTTCGGAAAACATCAAAAGACCTTCGATCAAAATACGTCAATTTTTAATCAGGAAATTAAGATATTTATACAGCAATGGAAATTCCATACACTTTACAACTATTTGAAAATATGACATTCCGCTAAAAAAACCAACAACAACAAATATAAAAACAAAAATACTAATTGAACTGGTAAATGTTGATGTAAGCAAGTTTGATTCATTGATCAGTCCGTATCTGTGCTTGCATTCCTTGGAAATTATATAAAATGCTAAAATTCTAATTCTTAAAGAAGAAAGAGAAACGCCACGATGAATTAAGGGCGACATTTTTACATCCACCAGGTGGAACTGTCTTTCGTCATTCTTAACTCTTAGCCTTCCGGCGGCAACTGCTTATGAGTACGCGACAAATGTAGATAAAGATGACCCGGCACATACGCGCCGTGGGACAAATGCAGGTAAGATCAGAACAGTACAGGTGAGCGATTTAAAATATTGGTGATGGCTCATCATTTGATATGATCATCGGGCACATACGTGCCGTGCGACAAATGCAGACTAAGATCACTCGGCACATACGTGCCGTGCGACAAATGCACACTAAAATCACTCGGCACATACGCACCGTGCGACAAATGCTGACTAAAATCACTCGGCACATACGTGCCGTGCGACAAATGCACACTAAATCACTCGGCACATACGCACCGTGCGACAAATGCAGACTAAGATCCCCCGGCACATGGCACCGTGCGACAAATGTAGACTTAGATCACCCGGCACATACGTGCAGTGCGACAAATGCAGACTAAAATCACCCGGCACATAGCACCGTGCGACAAATGCACACTAAGATCACCCGGCACATACGTGCAGTGTGACAAATGCAGACTTAGTTCACCCGGCACATACGTGCAGTGCGACAAATGCACACTAAGATCACCCGGCACATACGCGCCGTCCGAGAAAATAAATGCAGACTAATTCACCCGGCACATAAGCGCGTCTCGTCCATTGTAATGCACTGTTTTCTTTCCAGTCAGTAGATATTTAGAAAATTTCCCTTAAATGACCAATGGTTTTGTCCACATTTAACGCTGGACAAGTCCATAAAAGATATTTGGCGTGGTAATGTTTAACCTTACCCTAAAATAGATCCATTATAAACCGATTAACATTGGGTGTGAACAAATTTATGCAAATGATGTCACATTATATGGTATAATTATGTCATAACTTAAAACAAAAAACAAGACATCAATAATCGTAAAGACCCTATTTACAATGACAAATTTGTCTTAAAACTGTGGGAAAAGTTTTTCTATATGAATCAAATACAGATTGACCAAAAGAAAAAAAGGCGCAAAGTAAACAATGTTTTGAAGATAACAAAATGTTCAGATTATAAACTCAAGAAGGCTTTAGTGAATCGTTGCATTGCCTATACCAGTTGATAATGATGTGAAACAAATATCACTGTGAAAATGACTTTGATTAACACTTTTATCTTTCATTAAAAACACATGATGCCTCAGAAACAATAAATACTACTTATTTAAAAAAGACATGAATTTTATAATGTTTAAATAATGGTTTCAGAAAAGGTTAAAATAGAGAAAAAAAGAATCCCTAAAGAAAGCTCAACCCGACAAACTTGAAAATGTTGCAGGCTCGGTTTGATTGAGCCTGTTCATGGACGGTAATGGAAAGTGCAAGTTACCGTCCACGACCCCTAGCACCGGCTAAAGCAGTATTCAACATTTAACACGAAAATGGTGAAATTTTGAATTTAGAAACATCCGCAGATACGACGGTTATCACGGAACCTTCAATGTGACACAGAAGTGCCATTCCATGAAAAGCGGCGTATGGTCCCCAAGTAAAAGAATGCTTTTGCCCTAAACGAAAAAACGATGGGCGGAACTAAATCAAATGGAATTTTGAAAGGGGATCTGAGGTTATGAAGCCTGCATATCACAGATATGACGTCAAAAGACAAAATTAAAAAGCAGGCAACATATCCTAAGGGTGATTTAACAGTATTCAAGTAGGAATACTGGAATCACCCAAGTTGAAAAAGGCCAGAAGAAACTAAAAATACCACATAACGTGTATACACAACAATAATGTCGTGCTGAACGATCTTCAAGGATCGAAAATATAACATCATTGATTAAATGTACGGAGAGACTTTTTACAGCCGCCACACGGCACAAATAACACGGATAACCTGAAGAAAGTAGCGATAAATGTGAAATAATTTGCCATGAAAGTAGCAAAATGTAAACAAAGAAGTACATGTTTGACTGCAAAACAAAATACTTATTCACTATAACTGTGTTATAGTTAAAAATTAAGCAACAGATGAAAAAAAAGACAAGTCATTGCCAAATGAGTAACTTTTTGGATACTATATAAGTACACAAAAATTTAAAAAGCTTTTGAGAAATAGATTTAAACGGATTTCTGAGGCACAATGAGCATTTAATCTTCTTTCATATACATGTATATAAACTTGTTAAACCTTGTCATACATGCATATTTTTTAAAGTGAAAAATATCAGTTTACCATCAAATGTGCACTGTGCGACTTAATTATAAACAAAATATAGTTGAAAATCTTGGTATAACAGTGTGACATCTCTCACACCCCATAACACCGGCTTATGCTTTTAAATTGCAAACTTATACAAACAATGAGAACTTTAATTTTTAAAAGGAATCTAATAGATATTTTTTGGTTACGTAAATACAATTATCTAAAATATGTTTTTTTTTGTTGAAAACCATATACGTGAACACGCATTGTGATTTCTCATAATTAATAATGATTTTAAACATAGTCTAGTATGTAATCTTCTCATTTGATATATTAAAAACACCGGATAATACTTTTTGTTGTAAAATTAACAGTTAATTAAGATATATTTCAGATACATATTTCTTTTCAGATACTAGTATTTCACGCCGCGACGCAACGTTTAAAAAACATAACGAAGAAATTCACCTGCTACTCCAGTTGCTGCTCCGGTATTCGAGCCTGAACCTACAGGTGGGGTTTGTACCGGTGGACCCGGTCCTTGTCCAACCACGATTACAAACACATTCACAACTACCAAACATATCCAAATCCCTCCGTTCTTCATAACGAGCATAAATATATTTCCTTCCCTTCAATGTCACACTGCACAATATGCATAAAAATTGCAATCCGTGTTTTATATATGAATTACTTCAAATATGATCCGTCATACTTTATTACTGAATAAAATTTAGATTCATTACTTTTTGTGGTTTAATTACCTTTAGGTTAATAGGAAAAACTCTTCTTTTTTGAAGCTTAGATAAATCTAGGGCGAACTTTTTTACGTCACGAAGCAATGATGCTTGTAGGAGAGATCTGATATACCAAAACGGCTGGAAACTATCGTCATACTAGTTTTACCTAAAGTCCCATTTTACCTAATAAGGCGTGCTTTTATTTTTTATTCCTCAAAGTTGTTTTGTTTTTACATTTCATTTGAATGTCCTATTACTTATTGGCCAATTTAATTATTTCCTTAGCCATCTTTTGATTCCGTTGCTCTTTTCAGCAGTTATTACAGTAATAGCGATTTGGTGTCAAAATATTGCAAAGTTTACTTTTTGCCACTTTTCTATAAAATATTTTTTCTTCAGCGCTACTTTCTTCATGGCATTATTATCTAATCTGCTTTTAAACTATCATTAAAACAATATATAAATACATGTATGTGTTTGCCCTTCTAAAGAAGGAAAGAAAAATTCGTTACTGAGACAAGATGTGCTTTTCAAAAACTGTGGAAAAATGCAGTGTACTTCATTGTTCTGTTCAGCACTTTTAATGTCGAGAATTTAGTACTGTTTAAGCCGGTGCTGTGGAGGGGTCGACGTGAAAAATATTGCACTTAATATTATCTCTCATTAACATCTCTGTCATTTATCAACTCAATTGTTTTTGTTTGCTCTGCTATTTAGACTTTCACTTTAAACCAATCAAACTAACACTATAAAAAATCTTAATTGTATTACCAACTGAGAAATGATGGAAAACTGAAAGTTTTTCTCGCAATGGGTGCACGTGATTAAATGAATGCACGTGAGAAACTTCTTGTCGATTATATTCGTTGTATATGGTAGTAAATACATTAGTTTTACAATTGCGGTTTTGTGATATTTTCTAGTAAATATAAACAATATATTATACAATCTATATATAGCTCTGATTGGCTAAGAGGTATCTTTTTGTAAGAAAAAAAATAACAGGTCAATATCAGAGTCTATTCACTGTTTATTCTTCTAGAAATAATTTCCAGAGTATATTCACTGTTTTTTTTTTTCTCAAAAAAAAATAGATTTCCAGAGTATATTTACAGTTTTTTATCTAAAAAGAGATATTCTGGAAAGCCCACAAAAGACGCGTGCTACGACGTGACGTCACGCCAAGTTTGAGAAAACGTTGGACGTTGTTGACGTCGATGCCGTAGACACGATGAGTGCTATAAATAGGCCTATGTTGGCAACACAATATCCAAATTAGGAAAGTACTTTTACTTAATATCGCAGACGCTTGATTAAGAATGAATACTACTAAATTATATCAAAAGGTTATGCATCGGAAATGGTAATGAACCCGTCTATTCATAAACACAAATATGATTAAGTTCGGTTAACACTTAAGGATAACTATAAAGTTGAATATATTAACAGTTTCTAGCTAAAAGGTGACAGCGCTAATTTTCTCTTCCAAATAAAAAAAATGATTGAAAAAGGGTATAGCAGTGTTCGATATTGCAATAATTCTATAATATTTGTCATATACAAGCTATTCATACAAGTTGATATTGATTACAGTCAGAACACTGTTGAAAAAAAAAACGAATAAAGTAATGATAAAATGTCTTTAAAAAAAACTCTGAAAATTTCGGTACTTTGATTGACTCAAAATCATTTTGTTTGTTTAACTCTATCTTTACTTTTGATAATGCTCACTCAAAAAATTTATTTTATGCTTTTCAGTGGATTACTGATTTATCCGTGAAAATTATATTTGGTAATTTCACAGTGAAAATTATCAAAATATAATTTCACTTTTTTCAATGACGAAACTACTTTTTTAAGATTTTCCCCATGTGGTACCTCAATTTTATTTTTGCTGACAATTCTGACAATGTCAGGCTGTTTAAAGAAAAAGCAAAGCTGAAATTGATAAATACCTTAAACGTCAAAAGTAATAAAAAGAAGAAAACTTACTTCTATTCATTCAAATTCCAATCACCAAATTTCGTCTCTAAATTTTTTGTTTCATTTTTACAGTCTGAAAAATACATTCCTTCCACATGCAAACTGCTCTTGATGACATTTGGGCATATTAAAGTATCCTACGAGTAATAACTGCCGTATGCTTTATGAAAAATTGAAAAGCAATGACAGCTACAGCTCGTAGAACAAGTAAACCACCCAGCATTCCGAGCAAGTTCCAAGTCTTTCATTTTCATAGCTGCTTTTTTCATGTTTTCACATCTGTCAACACTTATTTTTGTCTGTTTCAATCCTGAAATATGTTTTCTTTCTTTTAAAAAGGTGTATGACTAACAATTCCAAATGATATCCCTCTGAATCAAACACAATTATTTTCCTCCCGTGAAATACACAACTTTAAAAAATGGCTGCCGCTTACATTTAACAAAGCCAGGTCTAATATAAATTCGCAGTAAGTAACAGAAATATGGATGGATGGTTGGAATTTTCTCCTACACGAATTGTTTGTTTTTATTATTAAAACAAGCGATCATTCATATTTTTTAAACAAAATAAATAATATCACTGTCATTTAATGTTGATTGTCGGACTTATTTTTCAGCTCAAGACTTTTTGTTTTTAATGAGAAATTCGCACGAAATGAGGCTCTCAATGGGGAAACAGATTTTAATATTTATGTTAATATTATGGAAATTTCGTTTAAACTTGTTTTTTAGCATAAAATAAAAAGAAAATTTGTTTGTTTGTTGTGTAAGATGTAATTTTATTTCATCTCGTGAACTTTAAAAACAGTATTCTCACTCGTGGCTACGCCACTCGTGAGAATACTGTTTTTAAAGCCCACTCGATGAAATAAAATTTCATCTTACACACAAACAAACAAATATCCTCTATATATTTTCTGGTACATGGAGACGAAATTAACAACGGGTCATTCGGTCACGTACATCCATCTTCTGCGACAAGTAATTAAAGCAATTTGTTAAAATAAAAACCAAATTCGTCTTTTAACTACTCCAGTACATGTCAATTTAAGGATACATCAAATACAAAGAAATGTTGTGTTGTTGTTTTTTTTTCCTTTCTTGAGCAAAAAACATATTTTTTGCGTCTCACATTCTATTTATTTGTTCTGTAAACTTAATAAGATGAGGTAATAATTATATAACTTTAACAATTTATATTTATTTATGTCAATTAGAACAGTCATTAGACGAAGACTTACAACATCGCCTTACTTTCTATAACGGGAGTGTGTCATCCCCTCTGGCAGGGATATTTTTCACACAAAAACATAATTAGAGTTTTTAACAGACATTTATATTAATGCGAAACTATTCCTACCCAACGGAGAGGCAAACATTTCAAGATATATATTTTACAAACCCTAGCAGTATGGGTATTACCAATTTATATCTATTTTGTACAGAAAATAAAATTTCTTTTTCTATTTCCAAGCGTGTACTCCAAACAAAAGAATTTGACATTTGTTTTGAGAGTTTGATTGAGGGTTGCAAAATTTTAAATTGGAAACAAATTTGTAAACAATAAAAAGGCTATTTACGATTATATCGCAATTTCTATTCAATGCATTATTTTTCCACGAACAAATAAACAACTGAGCCGTGTCACGACAAAACCAACATAGTGCGTTTGCGACCAGCATGGATCCAGACCAGCCTGTGCATCCACGCAGTCTGATCAGGATCCACGCTGTTCGCTTACCAACTCTATTACAAGTAGAGAAACTGATAGCAAACAGCATTGATCCTGATCAGACTGCGCGGATGCGCATGCTGGTCTGGATCCATGCTGGTCGCAAACCCATTATGTTGGTTTTGTCGTGACGCGGCTCAAATTACTGACCCCATGCAACAGTACTTGCGCTGACGGTTTCTGGACGTTTTTTTAGACAAAACTGCATTTTGCGCTTAATGAATCTTATCAATTGAACATATATATGGTTAAATCTTATGACAAGGGGCTTTAAATGACATGAAGTTTTCATTCAGCAATCACACTTTTTCAGAAATTTGCTATCTCTTGACAGGGGCATACGATTTCTTTTCGGTAAAATATATCTATGAATGCATTGAGCATAGCTTTCCATAATAGAGTATGAAATACATTCAGTTTATCATCAGGAGACTTGGTCTCTTTGCTCGAGTGGTTACTGTCCCAGGTTTCGAAACATCGGATCACTTGCCTTCAGAAAAAAATGACGTCATAGTATTGTGTCCACCATAAATGCCTAACTAAATAAAACGGTTCACGACACCTCATTACTGAATGCGAAGTTTTGTACGTGATATCCATGAAATGGAATACAATCTATTATTATCTGCTTGTAATTTGGAACAAATAATTGGACCCCAGAACCGGAAGTAAATTGGTATTTTATTCAATTAATTAAAAGAGTCGCTACTAATTTCGGAGAACAATAAATCAATTACCGCGATTTAACACTCCCAGACGGTCAGTGAATAACGTATTGCTAAATTCACCTTGTTTTTGTTTCATAACAGATCGGCCATCTTTACAGGCAAAGATAGTTCTATTTTGAACTGTATGTTCAAAGTTTCTTCAATTTCCACACAAGAAAAATAGGGCACATGCTTCTACAAAAGAGGAAATCTGCATGTACACATATGTTATTATTTTCTTTTTACATGTTAGCTTCAAATAGTTCTTCTCTTGACTGACGGCATTCTTCCATACGACAATTTTATTTTAATTACTTTGGTAATAATTATTCAGATGGACGAACCTAACGACAGATTTGCCCGATGTTGTTTCAAGTCGAGAGACAGGTTCGGTGGTGGCAGTGTCTGAGGTGGCATAAAGGGAAACTAAAAGACAACACTCGTAATTATTTATGGAAATCTGAATGCACAGGGTTACATAAATGTTCTACGCAACCATCTTC